GTCGCCTTGACAACAAGACCAAGTTGTGAAAATGGGGTTAACCCAGTTCTATAAATCGAAAGAACACTACGACCATACCGGGGGTCACACCATCTTGGTCTTCATAACTTCGAAGCCAGGCTCAGGTCTGTGCGCCCAATTGTCACATTTTTTTCCGACCAGCCTGCTTTGGGCTGAAACCAGATGCCCTCAACCCATGTACCTGTGTGAATCACTGCAACAGCTGAACTCTTCCCACAATGACAAGTCTAGCCAAGCCTTTCTCGAATCGCATTTTAATAGTGGGATTGTCGATGAGACAACGATGTATGTTTATTCAGATAAAGTGGGCTTTCTTAAATAAGAGTTCAAGTCACTCTAGGTCGTCTAAGGTGAAGGAGGATTGGGGATTAACTTTTTCCACAATCATGTGAGTAGGTTCCGGAATTCCATTAAATTTCACATAACCTTTCTTCCATCTAGGGGGACTACAGTTTATACCTTAAGGTAGTTACATGTCAACATTACACTTATTTTTGTTTCATCTAGGTTCTCGAGACTGCCAGTAGCTTTAAATTAAGAACGGTCTTCCCTCTATTTTGTTTAAGCTGATAAGGACCAATAGTTGAATTTTTTCACACTTATATGAGAAGCCTCAGGTCTCCACTAAATTTCACATATTCTTACCTCCCACTAGGTATTCTCCCACTTCTTATGGTGGAAATGTAGAGGAAACAAACTAGTATTAGCTATTTATATCTACTACATTACTTATATTCCGATTAAGTAAGTTTAGAACCTAACGGTAGATCGTGAATAAGAAATGTTGATATCATACGCTCCATTCCCCTGGTTCCATTCCCGCTGTGAGTGCTGATGAGACCTAGGAGAGGTTGAAACTGACGTCCAGTCCAGCCTGGATAAGAATACTTTATGCTGAGCAAGGCTATAGGAAATCTAATGGAAACGCCAGGCCTACTCATACAATTGTGGGAATTTTTCAACAATTAATTAAGTTATGCAACTCAGAGCGATTAGAACTCCTGAAGCGAATATTTTCCATAACAATCGATTTTCGATTAAAGTAGTTTACAAGATTATCAGGGATTGTGGGATTTTGATGAGATCTGGATATGTTCAAAAGCTACTGTCCAGCTCGGAGAAGATATATAACCTTTTCTATACAAGGCCAAGTGAAATTCAAACCTATTTATCTCATTGTGGTAAAACTCAGCTATTAATCCTTAAAAATCATTTTAGCCGGCCTGGCTTAAGTAATTTCTTATTCAAGAGTTGTTGGTGGCCTCGAAGAAGACGACAGGTCTAAGGTGTCTAGTTTATATTCCATGGTTATATTCTGGCGACTTTATTCTTTGCTTGAAGCAGAGAAGATGATGCCAAGTCGGAGATTGCCAACCAGCATCAGGTTGGTCGTATGAAAGGAGGCGTTTTTGGACGTTACTATACATCAGGACTTGGAGGGATTCTTATAGAAGAATTTGAGTCGCCGTTGATCGCTTTAGGTGCTTTAAAGACAAGCGCATTATCCGAGCTCGAATCCCCTTTGGGCGCTGATAAGACCCAGGCGACGTATGCTGATCAAAGTTACTATGCAAGAAAATGTGATATGACGGAGCCCGATTGTATGTATGCAACTGAAGAAACCCTACCGCACTGGCAATGGATGCAAAAAGCCTAATCACATTTAGTCATGACTGCCTGGCTAATGTGCCTGGCCTGTCAGGAGAAGGTATCCACAGATTTCAGCTTCTTGGTCTGTACCAATCCCCATACTGCCTTACGCTTGTAGTAACCAAATTTTGTGTCTATGGCACAAAAATGACAAAAGGCCGAATGAGTAGGTAGGCTGAGGACCATGAACTGATTGTGAATCCTCAATGTCACAACCACTTCAGAACTGACTCTCTTTTCTGATAGGTTGGATCGTAAATTCGTTAGCACTTGGAATACAATGTTGGGTTTTTTCACCCCTTATGTCTGATAACTAAATTCCCACTATAAAATGAGTAGGTCTCATGATACCATTAAATTTATTTTGCCCTACAAGCCAAAGGTTTTTCTCGTCCAAGTTTGACTACAGTTTAAACTTCACTTGTGTCTCCTTGGCCTCATAAATGGGATCCTAAACCCGAGGATGAGGCCCTCATGGTAACACTTTCAAACTTCGTAGTATACCCACGGTTGCCATTTGGTCAGATACATACAACTTTCAAACAAAGCCAGGCCTTTTCCAAATTGTATATATAGCGATAATGTCCGATTTCTCACAAGTTAATGAGCAGACCTCACGCAATTCATTTATCAGTTCCTATATTAGCTTAGGTGAACTAAATTTCATATTTTTCGTATATAAGCAGAGTTTCGAAGCTACTACTGTTACGGTTCGACTCCAGCTGGGGGTGTTGATAAGACCTAGGCGAGGTCGAAACTGCAATCCACCCTGGATCAGAACAACATTTAGAAAAGCAAAGATATATGAAATTCAACGGAAACGTCAGCTCTCATATGACCAAATTTTCATTCAAATTCTATAAATATCGACAATATATATGTATATATATATATTATAGTGTATTGTATTATATGGTATATAGATATAACTATAATATAAATATATGTACATTATAATATGTAATAAGCGAGCTTTGTCTTAGCCGATTAAGCTTACCCGCAAATTCAACGTTTCTGCTGTCGAAAATAGTCAAAAAGAACCAAAATATGGTCTATAAGTGATGTCTTTGTAACCAGATCCGATAAAATAAAACTCCAGGTGAAATCAAGTTTGCGACTCCGTCCAGCATGAAACTTCCTTCTACCCCAGATGAGAACTCAGTATTCGATAAGTGACATTGAACTTGTTCCTTTCATTCGCCCTTAGTCAGGCCATTAATCTAGTCCAAAAACGCCAATCCCAACGCTTTAGGCCCTATAATACCAACATCTTCATAACCACATGAAAGTCTAGGAATTTATGAGAATTTTATTGCCAATCAAACTTCTTTTTAAAATACATAGACAAT